TACATAATTTAGGGTATGTCTACACTACCCCCGTAGTTCGAACTAGGGGGGGTAATGTAGTCATATGGAGTTGCAAATGAAGCCCGGGATTTGAATTTCCTGGGCTTCATTTGCATGAAGCCGGCCAGTGCCATTTTTAAATGCAGGCTAGTTCGTGCCGCGTGTAGCTGCGCGGCACACAGTCCGAACTAGCCGGCATTTAAAAATGGCGCCGTCCGGCTTCATGCAAATGAAGCCCGGGAAATTCAAATCCCGGGCTTCATTTGCAACTCCGTATGACTACATTACCCCCCCCTAGTTCGAACTAGGAGGGTAGTGTAGACATGCCCTTACAGGTTAATACTAGGCAAAATTGTCAAAAGTGCCTTAGCAATTTAGTGGTCTATGTCTCTTTGACTTTCAGTTGGGCATAGGTTATTAAATCACTTAGGTAATTTTGAAAAAATATTACCTACTTCGACTTCTCAGCTAAACTACATTTGATTTCATTGTCCCACATGACTTACATTTTGGTTGCTCAATGTCTCTAATGGGCTGTCAACAACTTTTGTGAAAATTAAAAGAAAAGGATAGTAAGGGGTACATGTACAGAGGTAATATATTACCTCAAACTTGGGACATATTTGCTTCTACCTTTTTTTGGATCTTCTATTAGAGCTGTCCTTTCTGAGGCCCGAATCATCCTTTCCACAGGAAATAACTGCAGTGAACTCTGTGAATGTTAGGTGGTAGATTTTCCAACAAATCATTGTATCATTTTGCTCAGAATGGTCAGGATCATGGTTTCACTATAACTATAGAGGCAAATGGAGATAGAAGGGTATTTCCAGGCACCCCACTCTGCACCCCCACAACTTGAGGTATGTCTAGACTGCATTGATATTTTGGGATTCCGAAAGTATCTCAAAATAGCAATGCCACGTCTTTAAAAGTGCCCGCTATTCCCCAAAATAGTGGGCATGCTATTCCATTGTCCCTGTAACGTTAAGGGATTTGTCGGAATAGTGCCTTATTTTGAAATTTAGTGCTTTCTACACAGCGCCAAATTTCAAAATAGGCGCTTTCAACTTAGACTTGGAATAAGCTATGCAATTTGCGTAGGATGTTTCCTTTTCCTACTTATTCTACTCCGTTAATGTTCTGTGGTCAAGAAGTTTCACCTCTTGCCCAATTCCCTTTCAACCAGACCAGTTGTTTTTTCTGTGGAGCAGCTCTTTACAAATATTAGAGAGGGCAAGAAGTGAAAGTACAGTAGTCCAAAAACTATGCTGAGGACATAAGAATAGTTAAAAAAAAAATCATGGGGGAGCAGATGGGACATCATCCTGTCCCCATTCCTTCTTTAGAGAGTGCATGTTGATATTTTGGCCTGCATTTGCTTGGTTCTTGAAATGATTGTTCCTTTTCACTAAAAGAACTGAGGGTATGTCTACACTACCCCGCTAGTTCGAACTAGCGGGGTAGTGTAGACATACCCAGAGTGTCCACACTGCCATAGATGCTCTTGTGTGAAAGCACAGCTCGCACATGGAAGAGTGGATGTGTTCTTGCATGAGAACACTTGTGCAAGATGTTCTTGCGCAAGAAACAACAAGTGTAGACATAGCCTAAGAGAGTCCTCACATGAGCAAAATGAATTTTGTGTTGTGCACCAGTATTGAGTTCATGTGGCTTGTTTGGATATGCCCATCCCAAGACCGTATTAGCCTTTTTCACGGCCATGTCACAATGGTGGCTCATAGCCATCCTGTGATCAACCAGGACTCCGGGGTCCTTCTCCTCTTCCGTTACTTCCAACTGATGTGTCCCCAGCTTATAACTAAAATTCTTATTATAAATCCCTAAATGCATAACCTTACACTTCTCACTATTAAATTTCATCCTATTGCTATCACTCCAAGGGTATGTCTACACTACCCTCCTAGTTCGAACTAGGAGGGTAGTGTAGACATACCCTGAGAGAAGCTGGGTTAGTCTGGTTATATTCACAACACTCAAGTATTGTACTGAAACAGGTAGGGGAAATCATCAAATGTAGATTAAAGTACAATTGTGTTTGGTTTGCTATAATTTTTTTTCTTTATACTCCAGGTTTTTTATAAGAAATAACATTTTGTCCCTTTGAGGGAACTTACTGTACATGCTTTAAACAAGCTACCTATTCTTCAGGGCAGATACATAAAAACAGATCCTCTTTGTTGATGATGAAATGTAATCCCTTATCCTATGAGATGGTGAGCACATCCTGCAATATGTAGAATTCCCTCTACTCCCACTGAAGTCTGCTCCTCACAGGGGGCACTCAGAATCTCAGAATGTAGATTTTCAGTTTGTTGGATTATAGAGACATCTGGTGGTATTTTAAATATTTTCTGCTTCTTACATTTTATTGGTCACAATGTTACTTTTTTTTTTATTCCTTTAGTAAATCTCTGGCACTTCTTATTTTATATATTTCTATATTTTATGTCTTTGGAGGACCTCATACAACTATTGTATGCTTTCCTGCTGTAAAAGGTGATTTTCTACTAATGAATCTCCCTTCTTCACCTAGTGGATACTCCTGCACTACTGCATCCTTTAGACATGAAAGCTATTTGATACTTTTTAAGAAGTGTAGTAATCAGACTAGCATTGTGTGATGTGGTATGCTGTGTGGCCTACTGAGCACTGGAATGGACTTCTGAAGATGTGGCTTCTCGTCTCGGTGCAGGACTGCTGAGTAATGTTTATCTCCCCGGGCCTCAGTTTCTCCGTGTATTAAATGGGGATACTTACTCCCTTTGCAAAATACTTTGAGATTTGCTGAAGAAAAGTGCTATACAAGAGGCAGGATTGTGTGAGAAATTGCTTTATTCTTATATTTGTAATTGCACCACACTAGTCAGAGACTCCATAGCCTCAGGATGGAGGCACCATGCAATTTCCTTTGAATTATATGACAGTAAGTGCCAGTTATAGCTCCTGGTCAGGAAAGGGCTGAAGACTCTGTTTCCATTTACAAACTGAGTGCTCTGCACTTTCATTATCTCTGATTATTATAGTCTTTTGAATTAATTAGAATTTATATTTATTAATTGGCTGTGTAATGGGTTATGAATTTCTGACTGTCCACTTAACTTATATACACATTGAAAGCAAAATATTTTTGCAAACATTTGTTCCTTGCCAGCTAAGACTTTTTGTGATATGTTAGTATTTTGTTCTTCAGTGCAGTATGACTACACGGCTTTTCTTGAGTTTAGACCTAGACTATTCTGGTTTCTACTAGAGACAATTAGATGAGCGTTTCAAACTTTTTCCCAGTGTGGACTACATACAGGCAGTCCCCGAGTTACGCGGATCCGACTTATGTCGGATCCGCAGATACGAACGGGGATTTTCTCGTCCCGGAGGACTGGAGCGGCGGGACGCCTGGTCCTGCTGCCCACCTCCCCCCTCCTCTGGGGCGAGAAAAGCTGCTCCCCGTCTCCCTGGTCTGCTGCGGGGAGAGACCAAAGTTGTTAAGCAAAATAAAAGGGGGGGGGAACCAAAGTTGTTGAAGCAAAAGTACCACTCCCTCCAGTTTGGGGCCCACACACTAACCCCCAATGTACTCACCCCTCCCCCAGAGCCAGGCGCTCCACTACCCCCCCCATCCCAATGCACTCACCCCCCTCCCTCAGACCCAGGCTCCCCTCCCCAGCATACCCCATCCCAGTGCATTCACCCCTACCTCAGAGCCAGGCCCCGTGCAACGTCCTCCATCCCAGTGCACTCCCCCCTCCCCCCGAGCTAGGCATCCCCAGCGCCGGGAGCGCCCCGCCCCAATCAAATCCCCCTCCTCCTCCCACAGAACCAGGCATCAAAGGAATGGGATGGCTGGGTAAGTTAATCTTACTTTTAAAGTCGCTGCTCCTGCCCGGCTGCCTTGGCTCACATTGGCTGAGTCTAAATTGGCATGATTTTCCGCAAACGCTTTTAACGGAAAAGTTTTCCGTTAAAAGCATTTGCAGAAAAGAGCATCTAGATTGGCACGGACGCTTTTCCGCAAAAGCATTTTTTGCGGAAAAGTGTCCGTGCCAATCTAGATGCGCTTTTGTGCAAAAAAACCTCGATCGCCATTTTCGCGATCGGGGCTTTTTTGCGCAAAACAAATCTGAGCTATCTACACTGGCCCTTTTGTGCAAAAGCTTTGCGCAAAAGGACTTTTGCCCAAACGTGAGCAGCATAGTATTTCCACAAGAAGCACTGATTTCAGACAGTAGGAAGTCAGTGTTCTTGTGGAAATTCAAGCGGCCAGCGTAGACAGCTGGCAAGTTTTTCCGCAAAAGCAGCTGCTTTTGCGGAAAAACTTTCCAGTCTAGATACTGCCATTGTGTAGAGCAGTGGTTCCCAATTTTTTTGACATCATGCCACCTTTTTGATAAATCCTTCTCCTCTCCCCCCCAAATAGCAGTAAAACTTCTTGAGGGGGGAAAAAAAGAAACTGACCAGCCCAGAAAAAAAATAGCAACAAAACTTGGGAGGGGAATTGGTGGGGGGGGGGGGTCCCCCCCAGTTTGGGAATCACTGGTGTAGAGGGAGGCATCGCGGCCAGGTCCTGGGTCTCTTCTGGTCATGTGGCCAGAGCAGTGTCTCGAAGGCGGCGCGGGGAGTGCCCGATGGATGGACCAAAACAGACCCCTCCCAGCTGCTGCCAGCGAGCGCCTTAGGACCCGCAGCGTGCGGGGCTCATGGAAAGGAGCCTGCGAAGGCGGAAAGAGACCCTGAGGGGCAGCACTGGGGTGATGGAGAGGAGTCTCGGGGGCAGGGGCCAGGGCAGGCTGGAGTCAGGGGAACGCGGGTAGCTCGGGCTCTGAGGCAGGTTTCCGTCCCCGCGGCGCCCAACGGGGACCGCAGAAGATTGGCCTCGCCGCCCCTCCCGTCGCAACGTCGAAGGTGATTGGCTGCCGGGACGCAGCGCGGCGGGCGATTGGCGAAGGAGCCCGTCCTCTCAGCTGGCGAAGGTGATTGGCTGAGGGGATCTGGCGCCCTTTTTGCTGTGGTGGCGACGCTTCTGTCAGCCCATAAGAGCCCCCGGGGGGTGCGGTGTCTGTCGTCGTCCCTTCACGGCCTCCCTGACGCTAGGGACTGGCCAGGTAATCGAGGGGCAGACTTACCTCAGTCACTGGACGGATAGGGGCAGGTCGCTCAAAGTCAAGGCGTGGGCCATGGGCTAGGAATCGGATCTCTCACTTCAGAGAATGGGGCGAGGGAGAAGGTGTTCCCAGGGAATATATGTAGCCCCTCAGCGACCGCAGGCAGGGGGCCCTTTCAGTAGCTAAGCCTGAGGAGCAATGTGGGGATTCCTTTGAGAATCCATAGGCCTCAGCAGCAATCAAACGTCTGTCATGAGCCATGAGAATTTGAGCTCGCCCACCTCTCCTCTAGCTCGTGTGGAGCCGTGGGCTCACTGTGGTAACACAGAAGGTGGCTCCTGTGCAAAATAAATTTGTTGTGGCTCTGCTCCAATTGTCACCATTTCTGAGAGTCTCAGCAGAGAGCGGAAGGATTCGGTGAATAGGTTGTTTTAATGCAGTGTTGCGCCTTTGCTTCAAAACCATACCTCAATGGTTGGAGACCGTATCCCCTGCTGAAGGAGTGTGACTCCTTGGAGAGGGTATGTTAGAGGCATGTTAGCAGTAGGGACATGAAAGCTTAACCCTAAACGGGTGACGCTTATCAATTTCAGTTAACCAGTGGGGGCTAAAGCAGCTCCCCACTTGCTGTGGTTGGAGCAGCCACTGCCTCTGGCTGGGGGCCCGGTGCAGCCTAATCATGGCAGGCAGGAATCATCTGCTTCCCCTTTACTCAGTTAACTGATTAAACATCTCATTTAACCAGGTAATCAATTAAATTGGCTTTTATAGCCCTAGTCAGGGAAGATTTTATTTGTGCTGTTCTGGTGCAAAAAAAAGTGGAAGGCTAAAACATTCCTTGGAGTCTAACACATTGTGTGAAGTTCTCTGCTCAGTGTCTCCTCGTACCTACTGGTATTTGAGCTAGTGACCCCTATGCTACCTAGGGGGTAGGTCTTTTTTGCTTGCTTAGGCTGACCCATTCTGGTGTCAAATAGGTTGACTTTTCCACAAGCACATAATTGCATGCTCATAAAGACCTCTTACTGAATGTGAGCTATTTAAAAAAACCTGAACTGTTGCAACTAGTAGAAAATTCATTAAATAATTCAAAGAATTGTTTGAATGCTAAAAATAATCTAGGCTTTAGGTGCTGTGTTATGACTTGATTTTATGCCCATTGACATCAAAAGGATTTTTGCTACTGACTTCACTGGGCACTTGGTTGGTCTCTTTGACATCACATTTTTTTTAGAAATGCTGATGTATTTTCTTATTGACTAAAAGTTAAACTATGCTTGTCAAATTAATTGTGAATTGTACTGGAAAATCAATTTTAATCATTTGCAAATTACTGTGATATTTTGTTCCTTTTGTTGTACAGCTGATTCTATGAAGTTGCCAAAATGCCAGCTAGACGTGAGGTGCAGGTATGTATTTGTAATGTTGGAAAATTGTGTTTATTATTTATTAGTCATTGGTTTAAATTAATTTACTACATTTTTCTAGTTCCTAGTTGCAAGTAAAGATTTAAATATGTAACTCTGATTAACCCCCACATTTCCCAAATTTTTAATATTTTGATGCAGCTTTATTACTTAACAATTTTCCACTATTGATTGCTTATTGATGTAGAAAAATATAGGAATACTAAGTCAGGAACTCTAGTTCCTTTCCCCAAGTATCTTAAAATGTGACAAAATAAGAAAAAACTGGAGAATTGAAGAATGTAAGAAAATCATGTATTTGTATACAGCTGAGGTGTTGAAGAAAGCTTGCATCACTATACATGGTTCTTGTTCCTTTTCAGACAGTCTTCTTTGTACAATTCATATGTTCACTCAAATATTGTGTAATTTGTCTCGTATTTCATAACTTTATTATTAAAAGCTACTAACTGGTATTCCTAGTAGGACCATGCATGGATGCAATATTTATATCCATATCTGATTCATGATCTGCGACAATGATCCATGGATATAAACTGGATATCTGCAGATTTGCAGGGCCTTAGATATAAAATTTGGATCAGTATTCATCCATGATCTGCAAAAATCATCTGCAGATGTGGATATTTGTGGCTGTAAAATAGATATCCATGGATTTGCAGGCCTTTAATTAGGTAAACTCATGGGTGTCAGGTACCCTGGCCTTTCCAAACTTCCAGGCATGGCCCTACCTTGCCCCCAGAACGCCTGCTGTAAGCGTTCTGGGGGTGGAGTGTTCATGCCTCCTAGTGCCTGCCTTCCCTGTGCTCTATGGCTGGGGAGGCTGGAACTGTGTGGCCTCCTCCCTTCCCACAGGAGAAGGGGAGACTCGGGCTATACAGCCTCCTCCCTCCCTAGTGCTCCAGGGCCAGGGAGACTTAGGCCACGCAGCCTCCTCCCTTCCCAGGGGCTGGGGAGGCCTGGGCCATGCAGCCTCCTTCCTCCCCAGTGCTCTGGGAGCTGGGGAGGCATTGGCCGTGTAGCCTCCTCTCTCTCTTGCGCTCTAGGGGCTGAGGAAGTTTGGGCTGCGCAGTCTCCTTTCTTCTGGATGCTCCGGGGGCCATGGAGGCTGGAGCCACGTGGCCGCCTCCCTCCCTGGTGCTTTGGAGTAGCTAGGGCATGCATGTGCTGCTCTGCTTTCTCCTCTCCCTGTGGTGGGGGCAGAACTTCAGTAGGGGGACTGGGCTGTAGGTGGGGCTGTGATCATGCCTCCCGCAGCTGCACTGACCACCCATGTCGTAAACTGGAAAATTAAGAAAATACCATAGAATTAAGATATATTTCTTTAAAAAAATTGTGTTTTTTTTTTTAAAAGACAGGTATACATTTCGAAATGTATAAGATGCTGTAATGTCAATGTTTTAAAAAGAGACAAGGTGGGTTAGAGAGGTTTCCTGAATATGATGGAGTGTCTGCTCTGCAGAACAGTTGGTGGTTCTTTCTGTGGGGCAGTCTTTGCATGCTCCCCCATCCCCAGACCAGTCAGGGTCTGTGGGTGGGAAAGCACAGAAGTGTGGCCCTTTAATGGTTAAAACCCAGCTCTGGGAGAGCTGTGGAGCTAGCTGCTATGGCCAGTATGAGCCAATTAGGGCCCACCTGAGACTGTATAAATAAGGCTTCTGGAAGGGTGGAGACAGACACACACTTGTTCTGGCTGAGGAGCAGTTCATTGATTAAACATTTACATCCCTAATACTTAAGTATTTTAGTCATCTGAGTAGTGAAGTAAATTTTATGTACTTTTGGAATACAGGTTGGCCCTTCCTGGTCTAGCGCTCTGGGGACCTGACTGGTCCTGGATGAGGGATTTTGCCAGACCAGGGGAGGTAATTTTTGGACCCCTGCCACTAGTCTCTCCCCCCCAGTAGGGTTGTAATCGACTAGTCGACTGTCTGACAAGCACATGCTTATCGGCTCCACTGCCTCTATCAGAAAGAGGCATCAAGTGGGGGAGAGCAGGAGCCTGTGCTGATCCGGGGGAGGAGGGAAGTCAGCTTAAAAGCTGTTCTCCCCCCTCCCCCCAAGCACTGTCTCTGTAGGGGAGGCCAGAGGCGCAGCAGAGAACTGGTGGCGCTTCCACTTTTGAAATGTAGCAAGCAAAATTTCAAAAGCAAAGTGCCACAGGGAGCACGGGGCCAGCAGGAGAGTGCTTGAGTCCCCCTCTCACCCTGTGCACCCCGAGGTGCTTCTGCCTTTGAAATGTAGCAAGAGCCTCGCCGGCTCTTGCTACACTTCAAAGGCAGAGGCACCCTTATCGACTAATTGAGTAGTTGATGGAAATTCCATCGACTATTTGGTTAGTTGATTAATCTAAATTTAACAGCGCTATACCCTGGCCTGGCTGCTGGCCTCCCAGCTGGCTCCCCACCTACTGTTGGTCCCATTGCACTGCTGATCCTCTGAGCAGCCATTGCTGCCATGGCTCTACTGGGCAGCCCGGCGCTAGGGCTTCAGGCAGCTTCGTGCACTGTGCTTTGGGGATCCCTGGGTAGATGCATGTGTGCTGTGCACCAGGGCTCCCAATCCCATTGGGTTTCCTCACTGCCACGCACTTGGTGACCTTGTGGTCATCTCCCTTTCGGCAGCTCACTGCCCTGCCAGCTCCCCAGGGATCTTTACTGGCTCTCCACTGGATCTCTCTGGTCCTGCAGCATCCATGCCGGACCATGGATCTTGCCAGACTAGAGAATCTCGGTTAAGAGTTTCAACCTGTACTAGGAAAAATGCATTTTTGTTTACATGTTCAGCTTTTCTTTTAAACAGTGGCATAGTAGAACTCAGTGAGATTACTCACATGTGTAAAATTGCTCATGTGTTCTGGTGATAGCAGTATTGGGCCCTATATTTGATATTAATAATACTGAATATTTAGTTCTATGGCATAATGCTGAGAGGTAGATTTTTAGCATGGTAGCACTTTAACACCAATACATTGAAGTTCAGTTATTATGATTAACAGTTTTAGTTTTAGATTACATTTTCAAGGACAAGATGGGGCCTAGTCTTCTGCAATGGAAATCAGTGGACGTTTGCCAGCATTGACTTCAATGGGAGCGGGATCGGCCCTTGCATATTTAAAAAAAAATAGTTTTTACTTGATTTGTATTGGATGCTAGTCTAATAATAAGTGGCAAAGACCAGCGTCTATCAACTGTTGTCGTTTTCTCTTCACTTCTGCATGTGATTTTGCAAAAGTGTTCTTTAATGTCCTTTGGCATGTTTCATTATTGTCATATTGATATGGAAAAGCACCACATTGTTAACTAAGAATCCTGAAAAGGAATGTATTGGTTTTTTAATCAAAGCTGGTTAATGTAATATAAAATCTCAACATATAGTGATGTCGTTATTTTTTGTTTTCTTTGTCAGCTGGAAAAATGCATAGATGATGCCACAAGAAAAAATAACTTCCAGCTTTTAGAACAATTTGTGCAAACAGAAGACTCTGACAATATCTCTCATAAGTGCAGCAAACAGTTTTTCAACAAATTTGACAAACTTATATGCCGGGTAATTTGCTTTTTATTTCAAAAAGTTCTAGGCTATTATTGTGGAGTATTGCAGAAAAAACATTTGTGTGGGATATTCTGGATTATATCAGCAGTTCACTGGTGAGCTAAAAAATAAAAAAGACCTCAAAACTCAGGGTTTGATAGCATTCTTAAATTAAAATTTCCTTCATAAAATGAAATATTTATTCTTAGCTACTGTTATCTACTGCTCAAATTTCTGTTATTTCGATACATTGATCTTAGGTGCCTTACCGTTTTTCACATTTGATAGATAGAAAAGTGACACTTACCTATTAATATTCTTCCACCACCGCAACTCATTTAAGGTCACATTCCTATGCTCTTTGTGAACCCCAAGCTGCCACAGAGATCATTCTCATCCCCATTTCAGTTCCTTTCAAAGTACAAACAAAAGACTATTGGCAGATTTTCAGAGCTCTTTGACATTAGAGGTAGAACCAGATTCCAAAAGAGCTTGGCACCCAGAATATACTTATTCAACAATGGGAACAGCTTGGTGTGAAGTATTTTTAAATAATCTGCCCAGTTATTCAGGTGTCTAAATGGGAGCTATTTTATGGTTAGTTCTTTTAAAAAATTGGCCTCTTAAGTAAGCCACTTAAATGCTGGACTGAGCAGTCTTTTGCATCCAAAACTTAGTGTGCTTGTGTAGAGAGAGGATATTGAGAGTGCCTCCTCCATCATAATTGCTATGTAGAGGTCAAGCACAATGAGAACTCTTGCACATTTATTGGTAGTGCTAGTGCTTCTCTTGGATCCAGCCTCTAGTATACTGAGATGGCTGAGAGGATGTTGGGGCACAGTGTGGTGCAGAAAGGAACACATAGTTCACCCTCAAAAATGTTGCAGTGTCTGCCCTCCTCGAACTCAAGAAGGTATTGCATTTCCCTGATCTCACTCAAGGACTGTATAATTCTACACCATCCCCAACATGTTACTGGCTTAATGCCACAATTTAACACCAATTAATTACAAGAGAAGAAGTCTACTGCATCTAAAGCTACTAATTAACCTTTCAGATAATTTATATAAAATATTTGTCAAAGCCATTGAGAAGAAATTTCACAATTGTCCATATGATCTGTAGTGCTATAAGAATGTAGCAGGTTTTTTAACTACAATGCTATGTTTATGTATATCCAGCAACCTAGCCCCGCCCCCCCAAAAAACTGTTGTGTGCTATTAGTATTTTTTCTTCAAAAAGACCTTTCCTTATGACCAGAGTATTACTTTTGGAAATTTGAATTGATCATGCTATGTTATATTATGTTTCTTCTATAATGATGGCCTGCTTCTTGGCAATTGTAAAGCCCTAAATAAATTCTATAGCACATCTTTTAATATTACATTCTATTTAGAAATAGTGTTACATTCAGAGGAGTTTACCATGGCATTGCAGTGCTGACTTGTATGCATCACATTAGTGTCAATATTCCTCATATAAAGTTATTAGTCCTGTGTTAGAAACACTAATTTGAAAAAAAAATTCATTTTAATGTGTTACATATTTTACAAATTTAAACATAAAATGTGATTATAATGCTACTTCTTTTGATTGAATTTCAGGGTATTTAGAAGAACGTCAGGAATCTAATTATAGGAAAAACAGACTTATTAAAATGTCTTAAAGGGTTTTAACAATTATTGTGTTTCAAACAAATGAACCTTTGTGAAGGTTTTTCTTGTTCATTTTTAGTTTTTGTGTGCATGTGCCTGAGGTGAGGCGATTCTGTTCCCAGGAAGAAAAATCTCTAAACTTTTTAATATATGCAGAAATTAATATTAGTGACTTCTAATTATTCAAGAACAAACCTCAACATACTGTTTGAAAATATGTAGTTTACCCTTAGATATTATTTTGTTTTATTTTCTATATCACTGAATTAGATCTCTAATGACCTCCAGTGGTAAAAAGTAGTAAGTAATAGATTACTACTGAATCATTTAGGAGCAGCGGCCCAACATTTAACGTCAATTTTTTCTCTCCTCCAGCTGCTTGAAAGAGAAATATTATCCAAATATAACAGTTTATGAGAACACAAAAACATTTGTTTTTGTAAATGAAGTAAAGATTGATTTATACTATACACTGAAGTTCCTTTTGGTATTACAATTTTAGGAACTTGACAAACAGGAAGTCAATAATGTTTCAACTTTGCTAAATTGTCTTCATAAATATGGTAAAAATATCATCATACCAGGTGGAGATGGTCTTCCAGCAATGATAAAATATGGTCTCGTTGAAAAGATAAGTATAACAAAAGCATACACATTGCATTAGTAATAAAGCATATGTAATGTTGTGGGTTGTTTAATAAGCAAATATTTTGTCAAGATTGTCAGAAATTTTGTTAATAAATAATTAAAAGACCAGAATAACTGATTTATCAATTCTAGATATTATACAGTAAATTATATTTTGTAAATGATGCTGATGCAGCAGTGAAGTCTTTGTAAATAATGTAAGATGTGACAGTTAAATATACTAATAATTACTGTAATAACAATAATGATTGACATTTCATGTGAGTTTGGTCCTAGCTAAATTAAGAACCCTATATATTTTTTTAAAAAAAAGAAACGAACAAAAAAAAACAACTTTTGGTTTAAGTTTTCATAAGATAGAATCATAGAACTGGAAGGAACCATGTGAGGGCATCATGTCCATTCCCATCATAGTAGGACCAAGCACCATCTAGACCAGGGGTGGATAATAAAATGGAGGCGGTTCATCAGGCTGCCACCTCTATATTTCCTTATAACTCCACAAGTATGGGCACTTGCAGCTCCCATTGGCTACAGATGCCATTCCCCGGCCAATTGGAGCTGCGAGAAACAGCATCCTGGTCCGTGCCACTCCCCGCAGCTTCCATTGGCCAGGAACAGCAATTCTCGGCTAAAGGGAGCTGTGATTGCTCGTACTTGCAGGGGCACAGGAACATATAGTTGTGGCAGCCTACAGGGGCTAACCCTGGGGAACTGGATCTGGTTTGCAATCTGGTATCTGCCCGTCCCTGATCCAGACCACCTCTGACAGGTGTTTGTCTAATCTGCTCTTAAAATCGCCGGTGATGGAGACTCTACAACCACCTTAGGCAATTTATTACAGTACCTAACCACCCTGACAGGATTTTTCTAATGTCCATTCTAAACCTCCCTTGCTGCAAGTTAGACCATTGCTTCTTGTCCTATCCTCAGAGGTTAAGAATAATTTGTCTCCCTCCTCCTTATAACACCTTTTAAGAAACTGCGTTAGTGGTAAAAGCTGGAATTTCTGGGTTCAACATGGTAATACATTTTGCATTAGACGAAGCAGTAGGAGCTGCAGATCTTGTACCTTTAAGGGATTAAAATAAAATTTCTGTTAATTACTACCAAATCAACCTGCACAATGTGTGCACCCATCTATGGCTTAAAGCTGTATATTCATACTATATTATATGGACCACTTCCAACTTACATTCAGTATCTGCTTCACTGAATAGAATTAATGGTTGTAGTCTTAGAAAATCTTTGTTGCCAGCTTGTTTTTCAGTTGCTTTCAGAAAAGAGGAAAATTACAAGATGAGTGATAATGGTATGACTCTATATCAATAGATACATTTTCAGCCAACCTTATATTCTCTCCCACTTTTTGTGTAAACAGCAGCAGTCACAAAACTGATCATATGCTTATTACAGTAAAACTCCATTGGTCCGGCATCCAATGTCCAGCATTCCTGATGGTCTGGCACCATCAGGAATCCGGAAGTGCTCCGGGCAGCCGGACCATTGGAGCTGCTCTGTGCCCGGCTTCCCCGATTCAGCTGCTGCTGAAACTGATGTTAACACTGAAACTGACCAGCAGCGGCTGAATCGAGGACACCTGGGGCAGAGCTGGACTATTGGAAGGGGGGGCTATGAGGAGTCTGGGATGGCATCCCACCCCACCTCACCCCCTTCATAACCCCCCCCTTCCGATAGTCCGGCATATTTGATAATCTGGCACCCCCTGGGTCCTAAAGGTGCCGGATTATCGAAAGTTTACTGTATAAGTACAAATCATGCAGTAAAGTAGGCAGTACAGAAGTTATTTTAATGGGCAGAAACCAGCTATATTTTCTTAAGTATCTGTGCAAAATTACACATTGTAGTTCTGATCCAGGGTGGGTAATGCAATGGTAGTGGTTCATCAAGGTTAGCCGCTAGTGGGCGCTGCCACTGTATCTAACCACACCTCTGCAGGTACAGGGAGGTCACAGCTCCTGTTCACCAGTAATGGTTATCTGCATCCAATGGGAACTGTAATCTCCTGTACCTGCAGAGGAACAAGTAAATATGGTGAGATGGGGGTTTGCCAGGGCTAGCCCTGGCGGATTGGATCTAGCTTATGGTCCAGTATTTGTCCACCCCAGTTCTAATCTCAGATATCTCGACACTTGTTTAAATAAAATCTGGTAATGTATAATTCAAAATGTTGATTTTTCTTTCTCGTTATTATAATAAAAGTAATGTTTCTCTCTTTTACATGGTTAGCTGGTTTGAAAAGGCAAGAGAAATTCTGATATTTAGAGGAAATGAAAAAAACGAAGCACTTACAAATTTAATTGAAGATTTCTTCGATGTTTTGATGGTAAAAATATTTCATAAACAGTTTTATAAAATATTAAGCATGTATTTGTAAAAGAAAGTGATTTAACAGCAAAAGACATCGTCAGGCATTCTTTTCCTACTTAATTTTTCAGCTACTGTTGTACACATTTGGTTTTTTACAAAAATAGAGTACAAGCTCATTTTGTAAAAAACAAACGAACTATACTTTATTTCATTACTTGGTCTGTATAGGAAATACTACCTAGTAATAAAACACTTGACCACGTTTAGTGTACAAAATTTCCCACCTTATCTTAGTATTTTATCCAAAAGGTAGTAGCAGTGCATGTTAAACCTCTGAAACCCTGATCATGCAACAATTTTACTTATGCTTACATTTATGCAGAGACACAAGGTGAGTGAAGGAATATTGGGCCAACTTTTGTTGGTGAGAGAGACAAGCTTTCCAGCTACACAGATCTCTCTTCCTCAGGTCTGGGAAAGGAACTTAGGGCTCATCTAGACTACGCTAAAGTGTCAAAAGCAGAGCTTTCGAAAGTGAAAGTAGTCTAGATGCTTTTTTTCCAGCAACCCTCTCCCCTCTTTCGAAAAGCCACTTAAACCTTTTTTTTTTTTTTAAGGAAATGTGGCTTTTCCAAAAAAGGGGAGTGGGGTTTACTGAAAAAAAAAAAACATGTCTAGACTACTTTCGTGTTCAAAAGCTCTGCTTTTGAAAGTGAGAGTGGAAGAAAATATACAAATTCCCGGGGAATTTGCATATCCCCTTTCGACACTTTAGTGTAGTCTAGATGAGTCCTTGGAAAGTCATAAGTAAATACAAGATCAAAAAGGTGCTTTAACATAAGCAATTAGCACACATTTAAGCTGCGACCATGTGTACCTTTCCCCAGACCTGAAGAAGAGCAATTTCAATAATATTTCACTTTGTCTTTCTAATATCTTAGGACTGACACAGGCACAATATCACTGCATATAACTTTATGTAGTCCCGATGACTACTCATGTTCATAAAATTAAGTATATGCATAAAAGTTTGCACCATTAGGGATTTAATTATTTATATGTATATTCTACATCAGAATTGAAAAAGATTCAGAAATCATGCAAAAGGGTATGCAGTTACTGAA